CCACTGGGCATCTGCAAAGTGTGACTGGTGACTCCTCACAGTGATGGGGAGAGGAGGTCCTGTGACATAGAGTCTCTGGGAGTTAGAGGCAAGGGAGAAGATAAAACCCATGAAGGAAGAGAACCATTGGAAAGCACTGAAGATGTGGAGCCAGTTGAAGTCTAGTGGAAGGCAGAGTCCCACTGGGGAGCAGTTTGTGGGCTCAGGGTGTGAGCTGCTGAGAGTGAGGGTCCACTAGCAGTAATGGGATGGGTATGCACATGCATGTGCTGTCTTAGGTTGAATCCAAGAAGATGTGAGGCCTTTCATGGCACCAGTGCTTGTAGAGCATGAGCAGGGAGGCTGAAGTGAGGTACCCTCACCCTTAAATAGCACCACTGCTCTTTCTCACCTCTTGCTGCTCTCACAGCTTTCCTGTTTATCCACTACTGCACAGAAACTGAGGTTCACTGAGAAAATGATAACCCATGATAAATTGGCTCATTCATTTCAGGAGATTAGGCTCACTGGTGGGTTCCTCACAAAAATGAGATCTTCTATAACAGTAGCTGTTTGTAGTTGGTGGGCAGTTTCAGGGCTAAGCTGGCAAACTCCAACCCAATCGTTCATGTCCTCACCACCACCCAGAGGCACTACAGCAGTGCAGTATACCTAGGGAAGAAGTCTGCAGCTCTTCGGAGACCCCAGCAGAAGCAGAACACTGCAGCACATCTTCTCAGCCTTGGCTACCCCAAGCACACCAAATACTATGCTCTGCAGGCCCTGCAATGACTTCTAGGCCTTGGTTCTTAAGATACCGCATGCCTAAAGTATCTAAAAGATCAAATAAGGCTGTAGGCTTGTGGCCATGATCAACAATGCATTCCTGAGATAGGAAACAGCTCTCTCAGGAGCCTGTCCCAGATGGTCAGACAGATACTCTGAGTCATCATGAATTGGAAGGCACAATTCCTTACTTTTCTTTCCCCTTTTAATGTAAAGAAGCAGTAATGAGTACCTACCCATGCCTGAACACATGAGTGTGTGTTACTATTTTGAAATAAAACACCATACTACTCAGACTCCTTCCCAGGAGAGAAGCCGGAGAAACAGGTGCAGACCAGATGTCTGTTATGTTGATAATGTCAACTTGGGGAAACCTGAAGATCTTCCTTAGCTCCAGGCCAGCATCTGAGAGCACAGGCAGATCCCCAAGTATATCTTCTGGAAGGGGTTCCATGCAGTTACTGCTGTTGGAGACATCTGAGGTAGGTTTCTTCATTTCTGTGAGTTTGGCTCTCCAGTGCATTCATAGATAATAATCACAGAACCTCTCCCAGACTTTAATCTTTCAAGGCTTAAACAAACTATTTTTAACAAAGCAAGTCTTATGGCTGGTTCCTCATTCCCCCTCCCCATTATCTTCTGCATTTATTTAAGTTTCAGTCTATCTTAAGCTATTCAGTGACCCACTTAATATGCCCAGATTTTTTCCTCTCTGCCATTATCCATTAACAAGTTCTTAGCTTAGAAAAGAAACTCTTGATGATTTCAAAATAGTTCTGCGCTTTAAAATTTCATTCCATTTCCCATACTATAGTCTTCAGTGATATCTGATTATTTTCAGATAATATTCATACACTCTATTCATGTACCAACAATGCCCATATATTTGTGGTATCAGCAAGATTTATTAGCAGGAGATCAGGATGAATATGCTAAATTAAATTAGTGCCTAGTACAATTCTTCATGCTGTACTGGAAACTGTGAAGGAAACACTTTGAACATCTTGGATATAACTGCTGAATTATGTTAACAGAATGTTATCATATTGTGTACAAACAGATAGGAACAATCAATCAAAAAAGCCTTTATTAAAGACACCACAAAACACCAGAGGTAAAAAGAGGTTGTACAGTAACATAAAATATCAGTGTCAAAAGTACTTGGAAATTTGGAAGAATATCCTCTACTGTAGAAAAGAGAATACGGTCAATTTTCTGGGGTATTAAAACTAGATTTGTGGAAATTTTTCAAACATCGGGGTTGAGGAGATAATCAGGCACTGTTAGCTTTTAATTCCTAAGAACCAAATCACAAAGTCTTCAGCTCTCTCTCAGCTTAGAATCACCAAAACATCAAAACAAAATCAGAGTTGTAGGACTTTGCCAGAAGAAAAAACAGTAGCATGTGAACATTTGTCTTCAAAGTATAGAATAAAGTTTTTCAAGTTCAGGATGGCTGAAGGATTTTGGGGATCTTTCTGGATAACATGTGCTATTGGATGTGCATGTAAATGATTTGTGCTATTATTAATGCAGGTCACTTAATTGACTTTGGATTATTCATAGGTTTGACATATGTTTATCTGGGCAAAGTGGAAAGAAATGCTTGATCCTTGTATCCCTTACTTCCCAGCTCTTTTGCTGAAGAATCTGCTCAGCTATGGCCCATGAGAGCTGGAAGAGTTGCACAGAGCCCTTGTGGTGTGTGTCAGGGGCCTGAGCAGCAAGATCAAGAATTCTGTAACATTCACTAGAAAAAGAAACCACAGCCACAAGACAAGCAACTGCTTGGTTCTGGATCTTGAAATGCACCATAAAAAATTGGCTTGTGCTATAGCCTGTGTTTTAACATAGGGTAAATTCAGGGGCAGCATTTAAGAAAGGTTCACTGATCTGATTATTTAGATTGGAGATCAAAATAGACCATTGTAAACACACTCCAGTGCTGCTTTCCTGTCAACACATTCAATCCTGTGAGGTGAGCCACCTTCTGTCTTAGATCCTTAGGCAGAGTGAGTTGCCACAATTTTACATTCACTAGATGTCTGCAGATTTATTCTAGCTGAAGATTGAGGTGGTAACTTCACTGGCTGGACACTATTTTGTTTCTAACATGAACTAAAGCAGCAGTTTCTCACTACACAGCTACCAACTCTGAAAAACGAGCATGAGGGCAACCCCTTTCAAAACATTAAACAAAGATCAAGGCCTTTCCTGTGCTGTCCATCATGGTCTTCTTTTGAATGGTCATTCTGATTTCTTGTTGCCGTAGCAGTGATTTCACCTTAGTTCTTCCATTTATTTCTAGCTTTATTATCTCCTAACATGTCTCTATTTCTAAAATGACTTTTTTCCCCTGTTCCTACTCTTCTTCTAATGATCTTAATTAACAAACTTTGCATATCTAAATCTGGAACAGAGAACGTTTTAGAGACAAGGAAATAGAGAAAGTAAAAAAATAGGAAGCAGTTGTTTTGTTTCACAGGTACTAAGATAGCAAATGTTTCCCCTTCTGTGGTTAAAATTAGTTCTGTTGGGAAAGGAAGTAGTGGGACCCTAGCACACAAAGGCAGTCTTGGGAGGGATCCGAGAACAAACTCTTCTATCACATGTACAATGTAAAGCTGCTTCTCAGATTCATTATCATTCCATACCATTCAGACACCATTTAAAACTATTGCAGAGCACTGGCTTTATTACAGGCAATCACATTTTCATTTTCATGACCAAAAACCTGCTTAGGAGATATATTGCTTCATTGGATCATCTGACCAACTGGGGAAAGAATCAGCCAGCTGCTGGGAAAGGGTCTCCTAGATTGGCCATCCCCAGCTTTTAACGAAAGGAGTCAAATTCTTCTTCACCAGATGAGAAAAGGTTTCTGCCCATAGATTAATTTTTGAGTCATTATCATCTGGGAGCTCAGACATATTTTGGTATTTAGAAAATATTTCAATGAAGGCTTCCCATCCAAAGGCCTCTTGCAGCTGTGGATCTGAAGAAAATGGAAGCAGCACAAAATATATGTATGGAAGTTTAGAATTACTCTACTTGCATTCTTTACAAAATCTTTTACTAAATTTAGTTACTGATCTTTTTACAGGGTATTTTTATTTCTTTTTTATAAGTGTAGCTACCTGACAAATTCTAAATGCTTACTGAAGAATCAAAGTAGCCCTTTAACACCTTCAACAACCCTATATTTCTAATATTCACACAAAACCAAAAATCAAGTATTTATTTAAGTGCTTTCCATCCTGAAGGGCCTTGCTGCACTTACAGGCTTGATTGCTACATTTATTTTTACAATTGTTACAATGGTTCAAAAAAAGATTGATACAATTATCAACCCACTTCTGCATGCTTATAAGTATGCATATGTATAATATCTCTGAATACTTATAATGCATAGGACTGTCTTCTCTCAGCACAAAATAGAGGCTCTCTGCTTGGTGATTCTGCACTTGATGTTTGTACCATCAATTAATCCTGGGTGCTACTGAATGAAGTATTGCACCAACAAAACTGAAAGACTGACTTAAATTTCAAAAAAACCAAACCAAAACAAAAATTATCAATGATCAGAAGTCATCTTGGTAATGCCCAAAGGCTGTGATTTACCAATACATCCTAAACCGGTAAATTCCACAGACAAATGACCTTTACACTGTGCTGAGATCACAAATGACTCAAAACAAGTACATTTTTTGAGGAATGCTTCAAAAACTTCCCTGCAACTCTGGGTCTCCCACTGAAGCGTGATACCTACAGACAGATCAGGATTGACTCATGTTGGTTTATGGAATCTTATGAGCTGGCACACAAAGACTCTGTTGGAGACTAATAGTCAACAGAGAGAGATAATCCGGGGTAGGGACCAAGTGGATGCAGAAAGTGAGGAAACGGAGAGCAGCAGCCCTGGATTAAAATTATCAGTTTGTAAATCTGTTGCAAGCTTAATTTGCCTACAGATTACCTGCAGGTATGTCTCCAGGGCAGTAAATACTTCCCACTCCTTCAGCTGTGCTCCATTTTCAATGTAATCTTGAATCCTCTTCTTTCTAAGTTCCACTGTGAATGCATTGTGGGCCTTATCTCTTGGGATGCCCAACACAGTCTCATTCACATGAACAGACCAGAGGTTGCAGGTGGCTTTGGTGGTGTGAGGAGGAAACTCCCATTCAGATTGCTGCTGATTGTGGCCCAGCTCATGAATGGCACCCCAAAGGCCATTGGCTTGGAGGGACTACACATCTATCATCTCTGTCACCGACTCCAAATGATGCATGACTGGGTAGGCAGCATGCATCCAACCTGCAGGGAAGGTTAAACCACAATCAATCCTGGCAATCTGTCTGGGAAAGCTCATGGGATGGAAGACCACAGTGAGAAAAATACAATTCATTATCTTTATGTTAACTCATTCTTTGAGTTGTTTTTCATGAGTGGATGCTGCTCATGATATGCTTCCACTCCCTGTGCTGGAGTATCGAATGTATCAACCACAAGCAAAAGTTCAATGTGCACATTGTACGGTCTTCTGCTTCATTTCCACTCCTCGGCACTACCCAATGCAAAGAGCAAAAAAGGCCAAATGACTTTTGCCAGAGCTATAGACATTGAGACGACTGTACTCACAGCAACAGGAGAGGAGGCGTGGAAATCTAATTCTGTCTGTAGAAGAATTTTGTGTTGACACTGGTGTTTTCTTATTTTCAGATCTGGCAAGGAAGATGCTGTTGCCAGGACAGTTTGTATCCTTGTATAGCCAAATAACTGTATGGTTTGTGCTGATGAAAATTACCCCAGCACCCTCCCCAGCTCTTCCTAGAAACTCTGTAATCTAAGTTCTGGCTCTGGAGGAAATACATTGAGGGGAAAAACTCATGACAAATAGCAGACACAAATAAAGTATTACTAAAGGATTAGTTTTCCTAAAGTACTCCCAAAGAAGAAGGAGATTTTAATCTTGAAGGCAGAGGACTAAAATGTTTCATTGCAAAATTTTGTGTCAGGGCCCTGTGTGCACCAAAAGGCTTTAATGGCCTTGAGCTGCCCCACTTGGGGATTCCACTCACACCTCCTGTTGGTGGCCCCAGGGGTTGCATTTCAGCTCAGCCCTGGGCTGTCAGTCCCTGTCTGAGCTATGCTGTAGGCGTGCCTGTCTCCAGTTGTGCCACAGCAATGCCTGTGTCTGGCCACGGACTCGGTTGATCCAGACCCTGATCCATGACTTCCTCGCTTTCAGGATGTGCCTCATCACGATGGGCCTGCCTGGTAATCACTGAACTATGTCTCACCCTGGTTACCATCACTGAACCTGACCATGACCCGCGGGTTGATTTCCTTGCTTGACCTCAGACCTGCCTCATCCCTGAAGACTTGTCTAGCAATCTGGATGGTCAGCTGACCCTGGCTATTGTGCCAGGTCTGCCCTGCTTGCCTCACTCAGGTGCTGGTGAGGCATCTGCCCTCCTGGCTGTCTTACTGCAGTTGGCTTCTGGCTCCCTGGCCCTCGGGGAGCACTTGGCCTCCACTGTGCTCTGACAATGTCAGAAAACAAAATGTGAACTGGGGTTTTGTTTTGGTTTTTTTTGTGAAGGCAGATTCTTGTCAGGTTTTATTAAAGCAGCTGTTTACTATTGAAAAATATTCCATAGTTCACTTCAGCTTTGGATAGAACTTGCTGCTGATGGCCACAGTTACTACTTCACTATAATTGTCATCACTTTGTTTCCAGTTTTGCTGTTTCTCATGCTGTTTGTAAAAATCTTTCTTCAGAAAAGACAGACTTAACATACTCCTTAATATCCCCCATGAATTTATCAGTATTGCTGACTACCATAACCAGATTTAAAAATCATGTTTCTGTATCTTTTCATAGGAATTTACTATCTTTATTTCTTTTTCCTTCAGTGCCAATTCAATAGGCTCAGTGGATCCTTCACAGGTTTCTCACAGCTCCACAACAGTGCAGGAAGGATACAGAGCCATTCACATCTCTGAAATGGTGCTACTCTCCACTTACTTCACCAGGCGTGCCAGAAGCTGGAAGAGTTTTATATGTTGGGTTCTACCATTGTGGCCTCTGGTGGACATAGCAGTCTATCACATTGTGAGTATCTGTGCAGAGGGCTGGAATACATTAAGAGAAGAAGCCACAGAAATCAATAATCCAGCAGTCTTTGAGTGCAGCTTCACTCAGAGAAGGGCAGCTATCTAAACAACAAGTGTTTCTCAGGGCAGCTTCTCAGTTGGTGCAAACTCATTTGAAAGATCTGCAGCTGTGAATCAAGTCTGCATGTGTCCAGGGTCATGCTGTTTTTTAACACTGCTGTTTCTCTACAGCTCAAGGGAAGGAACAGCTAGTGACTTAACATTCACCTCCATCTGTTGACATCCAAGAATTTTAAACTCTGGCATTTGCAAGTCAGTTCTTCCTGTGCATCAGTAAAAATTACTGCAGAACAGCTACTTGTGTCAGCACAAAACCTACTGATTGGCCTGGGTCATGCACACACCATGGTTTGCTTACTAGGCTTATGGAGTCAATGCAGCTAAAACAAAGCAGGGAGAAGGATGGACTTTGCTCTCTGACATGCACTGCCAGATTAACTGCTTGCTCATTCTTTATACCTGTACAAAAATATTCATGACAATTATATTACCTTTGTGTCCTGAGTCTGAATTTTCAACTACAGCTGTCACTAATGGTAAGAATGAATGAGAAAAATATAGTACTCCCATATTCCCTGATGAGCTTGAGGGGTTAGCAGTTACAAAAATTAGCAACTGACATGTAATCTAAACACAGTTGTTGCAGACTCACTGACAGATTACAACTTCATTGTTAAATTTAGAGCCATATGTTGCCAGATGTAATGATCGATTACTCTGATAAAATCCTTCTTACATGAGGATATGCTTGGAGAAGCATATTGCAGTGTGGAAACACAGCACTTACTTATCATGGAATCATGGAATGGTTTGGGTTGTAAGGGACCTTTAAAGGTCATGTACTCCAACCCCCCTGCAATGGGCAAGGACATCTTCAACTAGACAAGGTTGCTCAGAGCTCTGTCCAACCTGACCTTGAATATTCTAGGGATGGGACGTCTACCACCTCTCTGGGCAACCTGTTCCAGTGTTTCACCACTAGTCTGTGGTGTTTCTCTAGTCTGAATCTATCCTTCTTCACTTTAAAATCATCACCCCTTGTCCTGTTGCTACAGGTCCCACTAAACAGTCTCTCCCCATCTTTCTTATAAGCCCCCTTTAAGTATTGAAAGGGGCTTATCATTTATTTTGGTTATATTTCACTAGTGATTATAATTAACTGATTATTAATAACTGAAGTGCAAGTTGTTTACACTTGAGCCAACCACTCTTGAATTAGTCCTACTTGACTGACAGCAACTACACCATGTGAGTTAAGCTGCTAGACCTGTGGATTATTGACAGAGTGGTGGCCTGGGCAGCTGATGAACTTATCAATTCAAGTGGTAGAAAACACCTCTAGTGTTGCAATCAAATAGACCTGAAAGCACCTACCAATCCTACTGAGAAAAGTGTAATACTTGAAAAAAATTAATTGCAAATAATGGTGAGATTTGGCCTTTAGGAGCCTCTTTACCATCCATAACTGGCTACAGCCTCTTCAGTTCCACTGGCCTAGTGAATTGTCTTTAAGTAGCATGTTTTGTAAATGACAGCAAAATGCTGCTTACAACAAACTTTTCCCCCTACCACTACCCTCAGTTCCCCACTGATGTAAGTGATCGTATGCCTGCTAACGTCAGGGTCTTATTACATAGTAGGCTACCTGTGTGTCTGTTACATGCCTTAATTAAAGTTTCAAGATCTCATTTGTCCTGCCTAAACTAGCTAGCTCTGTTTCCCTTCTTTCTGTTGCAATTAGCATAAACTCACTCCAACAGTAATAAGAGTAACATGACACAATACACATCATTTGGTGGCCAGCCTGTCTCCCTCCACTGTGTTTTACCCTGTGATGGCCTCAGATTTAGCAGCAGAATGTGTTACTTTTGTGTACGAGCTCTTGACATTTACAGAAGACTCTTACTCTCACGAGCAGCCTCCATGAATTTGGTGGGATTAGTCGGCTGATTTGAGGATCTGCATGATCTTCTGATAATACTACCGCCTTGTGTATTTCTCATACAAATATCCATCACAGATAAAGACAAAATGTTGTAGTTATTATACTTGCCGTGAGATATCTGGACATCTGCCACCATCCTCTCTGGCCTTGGAAAAGTTGCTGGGATGGCTGCCAGTCTGGCTATTGCATTCATCATCTTGTTCCAGATGGAAAGCAGACTCTCTGGGTTGTCCATGTGGCATACATCAGCAGCTGGTACTGTCAGGATGATGTTCTCTGTGGCCAACTCAGCCCAGGGGAGTGGGTACTGACGGATGGTTGATTGCCAGGCAGAGATGTCACTTTCCCCTAATTCAGCATTCAGGTGAAAAAAGGTAGCCAATTTAAAAAGAAGTGTCAAGGCAGAGGAGAATCACAATAGCTAAACCCCTCTGTATAGCCTCAGAAACAATAAGTTAATCTAGATGTAACTGGGTTTTACTGAATCAGGGGGAGATCTTGAGATTCTGGAGAAGGGTCCAGTCATCTCTGGTGACTCCATGTCTACTGTCGCTGCCAGGGATTTGTGTTGGGTTTGTTTGGCAAGGTTTTGGTAG